TCTGATTCCTTATAAAATGACCATTCTGTTCCAAAATACTATTAACCAATACCAATGGCCATAGGCCAAGTTTTCCCTTTCTCAATAACGTCAATACTATTATTTATAATAAGAACAATATCTTTGAGTTCTCAAATCACAAAGAAGTAAGGAATCAAATCTATTGTAGTCTTAAAAGACATAATAATAAGAACTATAATATTCACACACAATTGTCATCCTTATATCCAAAGGTACACCTCTCCTTGATATGCCACCCTTATTCCAAAAGACCCCTCTCCTTGATATGTCACCCTTATTCCAAAAGACATCTCTCCTTGATATGCCACCCTTATTTCTTCTTCAAAATCTATGAATTAGTTTGGATGAAGGACCACCGTCACAACCATCTTATCGGATCCTCATTCATAGTATTATCCATAAAATCTATAGATTAATTCCAAATGAAGACAGATCAAAAATCATAATCGTCTCAAAAGAATATGCTGTATAGTTTTCTACCAACAGTTTTATCATTAAAACCTTTCAAACTCAAGAACAATCTATTCTTTCAATGGTTTCCAAAAACATCATATCCCTTTTTAAATCCTCAAAACAGGATATCATTTACAAAACTGTTTTAAAGAAACAATCCCTTCTTTATCTTTCCCAACACAGTTTTTAATACTCAATTATATAACAATAACACCTTTAAACTATCAAAACAGTTTTACCATCTTTTCTTCAAAACCAACATAAAGACCCAGTAGTTTATATAACAATATATATAAAAGTTTTAATCATCAAAAACTCACAGTGTATAATAAACAGTATTTTTAAAAACTCACCTTAACAATCACAGATTCTGTAGTTTTAAAACACACAACAAAKCACAAGCTCTTCAAACAGCTTTGAACAAAAGATTTGTTCAAAAACACTTCTCACTGCCACAACACTCTTTTTCTCTTTCAACAGATTTTTCTTCAAATGAAATGATAAGATAGAATCTTATCTTTTTATTTCTTTAAATACTCTCACCATGACGGTGGAGTTTATTTTAATTATTATAAAACTCATAGGCGGTGAATCATTTATCCAATAGAAATAACCTTGGGTGGTGGGTTTATTTATCATAAAATTCATGATTTCTTAACAATGAAGGTATAAGTTTTTTAAATATTATAATAATATTTCTACCAAGATATCTTATCACAAATATGCACCACCTCATGTATGCTTCACACCACATGCATATATGTATAAATTACATACATATCATGCCATCTTTTCACATATGTGCATGCACAATATCATGTTCATATTTCACATATATAGTTCATGTATTTCTACTTAGATATGCATATTTCACGTAATCTATATAATAAACATGTATAAATTACCTCAACTCATGTTGTCTCAAACCTGGTTATAACAGTTACTCAATTTGGGAAAAGTATTAAGGTTTTCAGAAGTGACAATGGAACCGAATTTACAAATAACAAAATTATCTGAGTTCTTTAAGTCTAAGGGTATTATCCATCAACATCTTGTGTCTATACACCCCCAACAAAATGGGGTGGTTGAGCGTAAGCATAAGCACTTACTTAATGTTGCTCGGGCTCTCATGTTTCAGGCCAGAGTTCCCCTTAGTTTGTGGAGTGAGTGTGTTTTAAAAGCTACATATTTGATAAATCGAACTCGCACTTCTCTTTTATATGGTAAGACTCCTTATGAGTTCGTTTATGGATTTCAGCTTGTCCTTACTCACTTACGTAATTTTGGTTGTCTCTGTTTTGCTCTTATTCCCAACATCTCTGATAAATTTTCCCAAAAATCTAAAAATGTATTATGTTGGGATATGCAAACTCAAAGAAAGGTTATAGACTGTATAGTCTAGAAACCAAGAAAATTATATTTTCCAGAGACATGAAATTTTATGAAAATATTTTTCCTTTTAAAATGAGTAATGACAAGACTGATCTGGTTGATGTGAACATTGATAATTTGAATTTCTTTGATACTGTTTCTGGTGCTTCTAATGAGTTTGATGTTATGGGATCCAATGATGAGACCAGTGGACCTCCTTGTGACCCTAGTAATCTTGACAAATACAGTAGTAGCAACCGTAGGGAACTAGGTGGCCCTTCTAGGACTGATAATAATTAGTCGTTAGGCAGCTCTAATGTTGAGGGCGGGCAGGATGTTTCTCAAGAAGGAGATCTTGGGAGAGTTATCAGTTGGCAGCCCTTGGGCAGCCCTAGACTGGTTGCCAATTCTCCTCGTGATGCTACTTTTTTTACTGATAATACTAATAATGATACTGGTCATGGTTCTGAGGATACACAGTCCCAAACTCAATCTCTTAGAAGGTTTACTAGGGCTAGTAATTTTCCTCGAAAATATGATGATTTTGTTATAGAGGGAAAGGTTAAATACGGTATTGAAAGGGTTGTTAATTATTCCTGTCTTTCTTCTGAGAATCTTTGTTTTGTGTCAAATTTAAACAAGTCTATTGAGCCTAAGTCTTTTAAAGAAGCATATTGTGATCAAAATTGGTTAAATGCTATAAATGAAGAGATGGAGGCTTTACATAGGAATGGAACTTGGTTTATCACTAATTTGCCTAGTAATAGAAAAGCTATAGTTGTAAATGGGTCTATAAAATCAAATACAAGTCTAATGGTGAAATTGAAAGGTATAAAGCTAGGTTGGTAGCTAAGGGGTATAGTCAACGTGAAGGTCTTGATTATGAAAAGACTTTTTCGCCAGTAGTCAAAATGGTTACTGTTAGGTGTATTATAGCCCTGGCTGTTCAATTTAAGTGGCCTTTATTTCAGTTAGATGTTAATAATGCTTTTCTTTATGGTGATTTGTTGGAAGATGTTTATATGACTTTTCCTGATGGTTACTATAGTCCTAGTGATAAAAGGGTGTGTAAGTTAGTTAAGTCTTTGTATGGCTTAAAACAAGCACCCCGTCAGTGGCTGTCTTCTCGAGAATGGTTTTGTTCAAAGTGTTAGCGACTATTCTTTGTTTACAAGACATGTTAATTCTGTGTTTCTTGTTCTTCTTGTTTATGTTGACGATATTGTGATTACAGGAAATAGTGTAAATGAAATTAACATTTTTAAGGATTACTTGAAAAGTAAATTTTTAATCAAAAGATCTAGGAAAATTAAAATTCTTTTTGGGAATTGAAATTCTAGATTGTTTTGATGGTGTTTGTATGTCCCAAAGAAAGTATTGCTTAGAACTTTTAAATGATTTTGGTTATCTGGGATGTAAACCTTCAAGTACTCCAATGGATGTTAATTTAGTCATTTTTTATTCTATTAATGAAAAGGATCCTCTGCTTGCTGATTTTTCTGGTTATCAAAGACTAATAGGAAGACTGATTTATCTTCTAGCAACTCGCCCTGATATAGCATTTGCAGTGCATTGTTTGAGTCAATTTATGCATGCACCGATACAGTCACATTTAAACCTGGTGTTAAGAATTCTCAGGTATCTTAAATCATCTCCTGGAAAAGGGGTCAGTCTTACAAGGTCAGAAACTTTTACTCTTACTGATTTTGTAGACGCTGACTGGGGTAAGTGTTTATCATCTAGACGCTCCGTAACAGGTTATTGTTTATTTCTTGGGAACTATCTTATTTCCTGGAAAAGTAAGAAGTAGAACATTGTTTCACGCTCTTCTGCAGAGTCTGAATACAGGGCCATGGCATTTATAACATGTGAAATTATCTGGGTATTAAAAATCATGTCAGATTTAGATATAAATAATCTTCTTCTTGTAAGTTTATTCTGCGATAACAAATCTGCCATTCAAATTGCAAATAATCCTGTTTTTCATGAAAGAACAAAGCATATTGAAATTGACGTTCATTTTATTCGTGAAAAAAATCAGTAGAGGCATTTTGAAAATTGTGAAAATTCACTCATCTGAACAAACGGCAGATATCTTAACAAAAGCTCTCAGTATTAATCTTCATAACTACATGTGTTCAAAGTTGAAAATGATAGATTTGTTTAAATGTCAAGATTGAGGGCGGGTGTTGGAAATATCTATAGTTCCAATCTTGACTTAATAACTAATTTTCCTTTAAATGTCCTTTGTTTGTTATGTTCTTAACAGATAAGGGTAGATAATGTAATATAGTGAAAGTGGTTGCTGGGATTCAGTTAAGAGGACTGGGCCTCACTTTATACGGAAGATAAAGGGTAGCGGAGCAAAAGGTTGAATACTCAAGGACCATTCCTGTCAAAGTCATATTCATATATAAAAGAAGAAGGAGCCGGTTTAGCTAACATATCACTCATTTTTTCTCTCATTTTGAATCATTCAAGAGTGCTCTCTCTCTCTATTTCTTCATTACGATTCTTAAAGATCTGTCTCAGATCTTTGACGCAACAACCTGAGTTAGTGTTTCTTGTTTAAAGTTCTTTAGATTCAAATAATGATTAGTTCTTTGTATATTTTCTTTTATGTAAATCTGTTTAGAATATGAATCTGGTTGTTAATCTTTTTCTAATTTTAAGTCTCAATATTGTGAATGTTAAAAGTATGAAAGTTTACACAACATAAGCAAATAACAATAGTCAATAGAAACATCAATACCTAAAAATATCCAACAAAAACATATAACAATAGCAAACACATGAGCTCAAAGTTGTTATCCTTTGAATTGTTGAAGCATGAAAACAGAGTATATAGAGATAACAATAAGCTATAACATTCGACCTTGATACTAGATAAAAAAATAGATAGGCAATAAGCAATAGCATATAACAAACGGCCAATTAACTTCCTTTTGAATTTTTTCTCCAATATAATTAGTTAATATATTTTTGGACCCTTATTATATACTAAATTTTGTACGTCTATTTAATACAGTAATCTTTAGACTACTACTAAATACTAAGGAAAAAATTTCGGCCCCAATACTAGATGCATCAAATTAACACAAGTTCTTTACAGTATCTTTGTATATCTCTTGTTCAGTTCATTTGTATGGCCTTTTTCAGTCTTTTGCATCATTCACATGGTTCAACTTTTTGATGATTATGAATCTATCTTCAAGCATCCGGGTGTTTGCATTAACAAACTGCAAAATGAATATAGGTGTTAAAGAAACAAACTATTAGTTTCAAATAAACTTTGCTTTGTATGTGATCCATATAAAACCAGGAAAAATGTAACTATTTATATGTTAATTTAGGCAGGTATTCAATTATCAAATATTCACCTCAAAACTTAATTGTGTTGTTGTGGTTTGCACCTTGACGTATCCGAACTCTTTAATCCTTACCAAGCTCCAACTTGCAGCCTGTGTATAATCGATCAACGGATTAAGCAGGTGCATGGATGCAAGTGTATGTCACCCATCAAAACGTAAGAATTTCAATTTTATCCTTACACCGGGGAGGAAGCTTTTCAACGTAAATCCAGCCATTCCAATAGTCACATGAACAGGTGCTGCATAGTTGGTGTTATTGTAAGTGTCAACTCCATTTCCATCTCTAATAGGAACTTGTTTGCATTGCTTTTGATATACTGCACATGTTCTCTCATAGTTATGAACATGGCCAAACAGAGCCAAATCAACCTACATCAATCATCCATTTATTCACCAAATTAATCATGATGATCATCTTGTGAATGAAATGTTTTCCACTATTTAAATAGAGCAAAGACATTGTTTGTTAAAGATTTTACCTTGTATGCCAATAGCAATGGCTCTACTGCTTCAACGAATTTATTATCGACAACTAATACTCCAGAGCTTGAATACATTGGTCTGTGCCTGAAAATTATCAACAAACAAATTAGTCCTTGATTACCATAAAACTATGGAAGGAGTCCTTTTCTAAGTATGAGGAAGAAACATTATTTATGTTCTAGTTTTGGTTTGCAATTATTTTTACCCTGTAAAAATTAACCATGGAGTACTTGATCTGTCAACAGAAGCCATGTCCTTGCTCATCCATTGATACTACGACAAAATAGCAGAGCGATTATATTTTATCTTCACATTAAAATTCAAAGCTAAAGCTGCATATCCTTGTGTGCACATTTCATTTACCTGCTCTGAGTCTTGGGACCAATCATGCTCCGTTGACATAACCGTAAAATGAACACTTCCTAGTTCAATTGAATACCATGGCTTATCCTTTGCTGGCGTTGGGATTGGAAAATAAGTTTCATAAGGAACTCCACATTCTCCTCCGGAATCTGGAGTAGGATATACTGAGCGTGTGTCGACGTAATCTCTAACATACAAAGTGAATGTTATTAACATTACATGATAGTTCTGTAAGCTAAATTTTACATAACAATTCTTTTGCTCACTGAATAGATTTTTTGTCTTTCAATAAACTACCTTCTGCATATCATTGAAGGCAGTTGGGTTTATGATTTTCAAGAATTTTATTATCATGTCTTGTATATGTAATACCTTTCATGGTTTCCAATTGCTGTCATGTAAGATACTTCAGATGCAATGGGGCTTATGAGATGTAGGAAGTAATCCCATTCAACTAGAAATCCAGTAGCATAGCTTATGTCACCAATATGGAATATTGAATCTATGCTTCCAGTCGATACTTCACTAGCAATCGCTTCAATCACTGAGAGAGATCCAGGCTATATTTTGATTGACAACGTAAAATAATATTAACAATTGACATAACATATTTATTATACTATTCCTTTAGAATCATTATATAACTGAATTTTGATGGCATCAGGCAATGCATCTACCTGTATAAAGTGCTCACTGGAAGCATCCAGAGGAGCCTTTCCCATGTCACCAAAAGCAAGGAATTTGAGTCCTTTTACGCCACCAGCTGGTGGAGTCCGGAAGCTAGTTCTGTTGCTCCATCCAACTGAATCACTACACAATGAATGTGGAGAAACTAATTAACCTTTTCTTAAGGAATTATGCTTAAAAACGACCAAGGCTTACCTTCCATATCTATATGAGAACTGAGTTGAAGGATTGAGCCCTGTCATAACTGCTGAATGAATGTACCCTGGATCATGCCAACCAAAATCTTTAGCTGGACTTGGTATAATTGAACCTAATTTTTCAAACAATTAGACAAGTGTCAGCGATTTCAGTTTTAGCATTGTTTTTATAGTACAATTATGAGTTACTGATGATCCATAACATAGCTCCGTTGTTGATTAATATATTCATTAGTAAGGATAATATACAGTTAAGCTTCTCAACATTTTTTAACACCCTCATAATAAATAAAGCAAACAGTAGCAATAACATGACAACACAGGATGTGATAGAACATACTGCACATGTCATTTTGAGTAAATGTCGCAACTTGTGAAGCTTGAGACTTCCCATCTCCATATTGGACTTGTTGAGGGTTATTATCCCCACTAACCCACGTCAATCTCATCTGCAGGTGTATTTTTAAGACAACAGTTTGAGAGTTGAACGGAAAACCGGCCTTACAGTAAAATTCAGTTGCAATGCCAAGGAAAGGATAAGAAGCTAGATATTAAAGAGAACAGTTATTTAACAAATAACCTTTGGCCTATTCCCTTTATTAGAAAAATTGACATTGAAGCTTTGCCTGTCATCAGCAGTTTCTATCAAAATGCCCATTTGAGTTGCTATATGCAGAATGTTCTTCTTCCATCCATTTAGTGATCATATTACTGTATATCTTGATCCAATTACTAAGTAAAGATACTAATTACTTAGGAACGTATTCTTTCACCTAGCTAGCATCGCAGTTACCACAGGTCGCTACTTGGCAGGGAACTAGTTTCAAACTAAACAAGCTGGACAAGTAGGGAGGCTCCAAGAGGTTTTTGGACAGTTCGGCCAGCATGAAATGCACAACCTATCCACATATTTATAGAGTTACAATTTATAACCTTGCTTCACTTACATAATTGGGACTCTCACAGCGCAACTCATCGTCTTTTTTCTAAAGTGGACACCCTTTCATCTCCTTATTGTTTGAAGAAGAGTTTCTGCACTTGTATGTCTACTATCTACAAAGTTCATATCATTAACTTAGCTGTATCTTGGAAAGAAAAGTTAATTATCTGAACCAACTAGTAGTATTTGTGTTTTGTGGTTGCTAGTACTACTCATGAATGTGAATATAAGGTATCGACCGGTAAGTCCATTAATGATAGTCATTGCATGCATGGAAAATGCTTGAGACAATCCCATGTGATAAATGGAATTGATCAAGGGCCACAAACAGCTTTTCAACCAGCTAGTCACCAAGGATCTCAAAAAGTATTATGAGATGTGTTAGCTAGGTAAGAGGTCTCCAAAACTATTTTGGTTCTTGTTACATCCGCCACATATTAATCAAGCTTACCCTAAGAATGATCTAGTGTCGAACAAGAAGAAGGTCTAATCACTACAACAAAAATTGGACCTATAGAACGCCAAAAATATCTAAGTGTCTTAATAGATTGTTTTATAGGACTTAAGTTTACATGACAAACAATTGTTTGCGGCGTTGCAATAAGTTTATAAGACATTTTTGGACATTTTAACAAGTTTTTAGTAGAATTATTTTAAAATAATGTCATAGACTAAAAGTTAATATGACATTTTATCTTAATAATGTCCTAAAAACTTATTAAAACACTAATAATAGTTGTATAAATTTATAGCAACGATTTAACATACCACAATTATTTGGTCCTACAAACATAAGTGCTATATGTAAAACAGTCTATTACACACTCAAACATTTTTTGCGTTCTATAAATTAACTGGATTTTGCTGTAGTCAGTAACAAACCAAAACTATATGTCCCCCCAACCATTAGAGGATTCTCCAAGCATTCCAAAAACATTTGGAGTAAGATTATAACACCTTTATCAAAATAAACGAAAATTGAACACCATAAACATCCAATAGGCCAGTCTTGCTTCTTACTAATTCTGGGCACAATTGGATGCATTTATGCTTTCGAGCCCTTTTGTTTTGTAAATATGCCTCATGTGAAAATGAAGTAATTGGAATGATATCTTTTACCCGGCCCATTTGATTGATTATCACTATGAATCCCTTTCATGGTTATTCGTGGAGCAGTGCAGGTATTCGACGAAGGTAGATGGAGATAGTACATGGTTGGGTTATAGATAAATACTGGAGTAGCTATTCATCATTTGCAATTTGACAACACAATAGGGATGTGCAATAACAAGTTAGAGGATATAAGATCGTTGCATACCATATTAAAAAAGAGAGGTCGCTAATCAATCACCATGGCAAAAACAACACACATTAGCAAACTAAATGTACCAAATATATTTCTATTGGAATTAGAGTCTATAAAGTGAGATGTATGAACAACTTTCCTCTACCTCAAGGATTACAATTAAAGGTTGGTTTTGTGAAGACCCCGACTTGAGAAAAGGCTTTAATTTGGAATTCATGAAAAAGTTTAGGAGCTTGTGGAAGTTACTTAAACGCATGGGACAACTTGATATAATTGTAAAAATAGAGTGCAGGTGACATAAATGAAGGGGAGTGTAAACAGTAGAAGAATATAGCAATGTAACAAGCAAGTTCACCCGAAAGCTAGGTCCTAGATAGCTAGCTAGCAGTTGTTCACAAAGGGCACTCCCCTTCGAAATGTCATGGGAGACATAACTTTGATGCAAAAAGAGCGGAAAAAATTGCGAATGGTATTAATTATATTGCCTTAGCAATAAATCTCATCATCATTCATGACGGATCCATACACATTCATAGTCGCTAGCACTAATTACAAGAGTGCTTAGCAAGAAAGGATGTGCGGCCATAATTTGTGAATTCTCAAGATTAAAATTGCAGATGTTTTAACTGAGCCGCTGATCAAGACTAAGAAATCCTCTTGGACATATAAATTAAACAGGCTTGGGGGATGTTGGATTATAAATATATTTTAAATCAAGTCCAAGAATATGCGAGTATATATTCTAGAAAATAGAAGGTGAATGAGCTATTGAGCTATTAAATTAGTTCTGTATTGGAACTTCTCTATGCATACAAGGTGCCAGAAGTTTATCGACCCTTGAGGAAACAACGTTCTTGCGACTTTGGTAAATCGACCACAAAAGAATTTCTACCTTAATTAATTAAGACTAATCTAGAACCCCTACAAGATTGTATAAAACAATTTCAAACAGGTGACATGAACCAGCTAGTAAATAACAAGATTTGGCCAACAATCGTGTCAAAGTGAGAGTGATTTTAACGAGTAATATTGCTTCCAAATGCTGATACAACAAGGTATTTTTTTTCCCAGTAAAAAGAAGCTGATCAGTATCAATAGGTATGTAAATCTACCTCTAATCACATATCTTCAAGATCCACCATGTTGAGTGGGACATTAATATTGCAGCATCATAATGGATTCATATTAATCATAAAGTTTAAGCTTAACTCAGCAAAGTGATCGATATTTCATGAATAGAGGAAGTTATTAGTGTCCCTAGAAAGGAAATGGCTACTTACGGTTGTCCCAGTGGAATCAATGCTTGAGAGATGTCCATACAAGGGTTGGTTGGGATTTTTGAAGTTGATGGGGCTAGATCTCGTAATGATGCAAGGGGTCAAAAATCCATCACCAAACAACACAAATTCAACATCAGTTCTGATATTGATCACATGAAATGTCAATGTGGCACCACATGTTGTTACTGCACATCTTCCTTTCTCGTACTCCTGGCATTCTTGCTTCTTGCAACTTAAATAATCCAAATCGTTGCTTACATATTGTGCCTGCATTTGGTACGCTACGTCATGGTTATCGTTCATATCAACTCAAAATGAGCTAGTTTTAGTCCTATTAAAAATGCATAATGTTTACTTTAGAGCTTTAGAGTGTGGCAATAGATGCCACAATTCACATGAAATACACATTCTGTGATTATCTTTTTCTTAAGCGGGTCTTTAATTTGATAGGTCCAAACTGAAACTCCAAAAGCTTGATTGTCACTCGGATATGAGAAATAAAAGGAATCTATATTGGTAAGCTGACTCAGGAAGGTACAAATTTTTATCAAAATTCAATGGTAAAAGAAGATTACAAAGAAGCCTATTTATAGGTTAAACTAAACTTGTAAGACAAGCAAAGAATCAAAATAAAATAAAAAATTCAATGGGAGATATCTTATCTTAATTAAAGAAACTTAGGGGCCGTTTACCAAACGCTTACTCGGGTAAGTGAACACCAAGTCACATTATCTTACCTATTGAATATGGTAAGGACCAAGAATCTTAACCAATAAGAACGAGACAAGGACCAAGAGTCTTACGATAAGTGAGGGTGACGATTTTACCATGGTAAGCGCTTACTGGGTACATTGTTGTATACGAGACCGTTTTGGTGGACTAAAATCTACCGGTAAGTAAATGATAGTGTTAAATTTTACCGATAAATACTTATCGAGTAAGTGTTTGATAAACGGCACCTTAGATATAAAAACTAGTCATATGTAATTTATTTTCAGAATAGATGAAATTCTTGCAAAACAAGTCATCAAAAAATTGGGCTTCTTTCGAGCCTTTTTTATCTTTTGCCATTTGTCTATAAAAGGGTCTATAAACTCTTGGATGTGTCTGAAGAATGTGCCAAATCTTGATTGATTCAAAGTTTGGTGGTCCTTAGAATACATGGGACTCACCGTTAAATGGAGCAGTATTATTTGGAGAGTTTATTTCTCACCTTTTAGTTTTTTCAGCTTTACTATTTAAGTTTATGTTACTCTTTTATTTGCCTATTTAATGGCTAATCTTCTTCAATAATACTCATCAATGATAAAAACAAATACAAGTTTCTTGCTTTGCTATATCCTACATTGTGGTATCAGAGTTGTTACATAGGTTTCATTTTGCAGCAAGATGACATACGGTGTTTCTGTAGTAATTAAACATTTCACAGCCCCATATTCCTATTTTTATAGGCGACTCTTACGAGTTTTGGAGTACCAAGATTAAGATTCTCTTTAGATCGCAAGATCTGTGGGATCTCGTTGAGAGTGGAGTTACTTTAACAAGCTCGGAAGAAGCCATAAGTGAGGAGAATCAAAAAAGAGATGCAAAGGCTCTTTTCTTCATCCAGCAATCTGTAGATGAGACAATCTTCTCTCGAATCACAACAGCCACCACAGCAAAGGAGGCATGGGACACCCTCAAAACATTAGTATAAAGGTTCTGCCAAAGTAATTTTACATGCTACAATTACTGAGAACAAGATGTTTCCCATAGATTTTTCTTGTGTAGCAACTTATGGAATGATGAGCAGACAAGATGACACTGATTTATGGCACCTTATATGTCAAAGGGCTGCAACTTCTTGCTAATAAAGACATGGTAAGGGGCTTACCAACAATAAAGTAGCAGGGTCATATGTGCGACAGTTATATTCTCGGGAAATAAATAAGAAGACTGTTTCCAGTGGAGCAAGCAAAGAGAGTTTGAGAGAAATTAGAATTGGTGCATGCCAACATTTGTGGTCCTGAAGGACTTGGAGGTAGTAAATATTTCCTCTTGTTTATTGATGATTTCTCAAGGATGAGTTGGATATATTTTCTCAAATTTATAAAGTCAGAGGCATTTGAATCTTTCATGAAAGTCAAAGCTCTAAAAGAGAAATAAAGCAATGGAAAACTGAAAGCTCTCAGAACAGATAGAGAAGGCGAATTTCTCTTGGAGGATTTCAACGCTTTCTATGAAGAACAAGGCATCATAAAAGAACTTACGGCTCCCTATTCTCCTTAACAACATGGTATAGCAAAGCATAAGAATCAATATTTTTGTTGAAATGGCTCGTTCTATGCTAAAAGCAAAGGACTTGATCAATGCATTATGGCAGAAGGTGTAGCTACTGCTGTCTATTTGCTAAATGTGTCTCCTACAAAAGTTGTGTGGAATATGACACCATATGAAGCCTGGTATGAATCTAAACCTTCTGTTAATCATTTACGAATATTTGGTTGCATTTGTTATGCTTTGATTCCATCTAAAAGAAGTAAACTGGATCAAAAGTCAATAAAGTATATGTTTGTGGGGTATTGCTCAAACTCCAAGGCATATAGGTTATTTGATCAAGAGAACAAGAAAATTGTTATTAGTAGAGATGTATAATTTGATGAGCATGACAGTTAGAAAATGAGCTTAGAAGAGCAAGACTCAAGTCTGAATATAATTGTTGATAACAATCAAGAGGAAGATAAGAATGAGGTTGCGGCTCCTGCAAGCGCGCAAGCTGAAGGTCCAACCAAAAGTATCTAGTCTTCAACCACACAAAATGTGTCATCATGAAGAGAAAACGACATTCCTCTACCGACTCAACTCAAAAATCATCAAGGAAAACAAAAAATTTAGATGATCTTTACTCTTCAACATTTGCTTTGTTTACTGAAGATCTGATTCGGGTTGAGGCAACCATGAAAAATGAAGAATGGAAGAAAACAAGGCAAGATGAGGTCACTACTATTAAAATAAATGGGACTTGGAGGTTGGCTGAACTACCACCTGGAAAGAAGGCAGTCAATCTTAAATGGATTTTCAAGACTATCATTCGGATGGAAGCATACAGAAACATAACAAAAGATCAGTGGCAAGAGGATATGTTCAAGAATAAGTAGTGGATTTTGACAAAACCTTCTCCGGTAGCAAGGCTCGAAACCGTAAGAGTAATTATTTCACTTGTTGCTTAACGACAATGGACTATTTACCTGTTTGATGTAAAATTGGCATTTTTAAATGGAGATTTTGACGAAGAAGTGTACATTCAGCAGCCAGGCGACTTTGTCATATCCGGGGAAGACCACAAAGTATACAAGCTTGAGAAGGAGTTATATGGCCTAAAACAGGCTTCTGAGCTTGGTATAATAAAATAGTTGAATTCTTTCATAAGCATGGATTTGAGAGAAGCCCAAATGAGCCAACTTTGTATGTGAAGAAGCTTGGAATGGATGATATTATTCTGGTAAGTTTATACATAAATGACATGACATATACATGATCATCTATGGCACTTATATTTGATTTTAAGAATGCCATGATGAGCATGTTTGATATGACCGATTTAGGAAAATTGAGTTATTTCCTTGGTTTGGAAATTAATCAAACAGTTATAGCATTTTTCTTTCATAACATAAATATGCCGCGGTGTCTTGAAGCAGTTCAATATGTTTGAATGTGAGTGAAAAGCTAACAAGCAAAGATGGCATAGGAATGACAGAGGCAAGAAAGTTTAGAAGCCTAATGGGGGGCCTTATCTATCTTACTTACACCAGACAAGATTTGGAATATCTTGTTGGTCTGATCCAAGATTTATGCATTGTTTGAGTAAGCAACATTTTAGAGCAGCAAAGACAATACTAGGCTATGTTACTGGAACCATAGCATATGGGATTTGATACTCTAAGGAAGGAAGGTTTGATCTAGTGGGCTACACTTATAGTAATTGGGCAGGTTCTCTAGAAGACAGAAAAAGTACATCCGGTAACTGTTTCATATTCAGATCAGGTTTGTTGCATGGATATTGAAAAAACAAGCTACTGTTGCGTTGTCTTCAACAGAAGCGAAGTATATAGCAACAACCTTGAATGTATGTCAAGCTATGTGGCTACGAAGACTGTTAGAAGACGTCAATCAAAGGCAACAACAAGCGACGTTGATTTATTGTGACAACTCATCTGCAGTTGCAATGACAAAAAAAAAATATATATTCTCCATGGTAGAACTAAACTAAAAGATATCAAACATCACATTTTAAGGGACTTGGTTGTAGAAGAAAAACTGAAACTGGCAGTGTGCAAGTCAGAACATCATAAACATAGAATGAGGTTATAGTGATTGAATTGAAATACAAATACTTCATGATTTTTCATTTCCATATGAATTGAAATTGTTTATACCTTGACAGGATATTGACATAGCAGTGGCAGTAAACTTAAATCACCCGTCTGCAGATAAAGAATGGCGTTCTTCGCACAAGCGGACGTACTTCACAATTACACATATACAAAACAAAAGTAAAATAAAATTAGAATAACACCACAAGCAAAAGAGCAAATTTCTTTTTTCTTAAGAACAAAAATATCGAGAAGAAAGTAATTTTAATTTCTAAGTTTCTATAATTCCTCGTTTCTTTTACACATAAATAAGACTTGCGGGCTACTTTTTTCTTTCTAAATTCTCTACGGATTAATGTGTTTGTATTGATTAAGTTGTAATATATATATATGAATTAAATTAAAAAAATGTTTTATGTGCTCAATAAATATTTTGAATCCCAAAATTTATCATTTTACTCTTTTGTTTAGATTAAGGGGTTGTTTACCAAACACTTACATGGTTTACCTGTAAATTTAACACTATCATTTACTTATCGGGTAAGATTGTAGTCCACCAAAACGATATCGTATGCAACAACTAACCTGGTAAGTGTTAACCGTGGTAAGAGTCGCCGTCATTTACCGGGTAAGACTCTCAGTCTTTGTCTTCGCTTTTACTGGGTAAGATTCTTGGTCCTTTCCATATTGATTCGGTAAGGTAATGTGACTTGGTAAGCGCTTATCCCGATAAGCACTTGATAAACAACCCCAAGTGTTGAATGAAAATGACGGTTTGATAACCTTTTTGGATGAAAGTTCAAAATGACAATGGCAGTATGACACATCATTTTATGAATCACTTATATAAAAATTATTTGATGTAACATAATAATAAAAGTTCATTGACTACATGATACTAAGGTCTAAGGATTCAAATGATATTTATTTGTATACTAAAATGAATTAGTAACTTCTTTTAAGAACTTGTTAATTTATGAGATTCAAATTAAACCATATAAAATTAATTGGAATTTAATTTTTTCTAATATAAATTAAAAACTTCTCTTTCCCTCTCGTCTTTCGTGTCTCCTCTTTCTTATTTTATTTTTTCTTTCATCTCCTCTCAATCATCTCTCCATAACATATACATACACAAATAATAGAATATGAACGTGAACACATTGTGAACACTTTCTTAGAAATAATGTTATTGTTGTGAACACACTATGAACACTCTAAATCTAGGAATATCTGGCATAACTTGTGAACATATATTGTGAACACAAACTAAATTGATAAAACTAAATATGAACATATCACTTATGAACACAATGTTAACTTTGTGAACATGCACCCTACTGATTTTTTAATTAAACCTCTTGACATCATGTTCATAATGTGTTCAACTTGTATGTACGATGTGTATGTTAACGCGGTGATAGGAGAGACGAGAAGAGAGATATAGATAAGTATGAAATTTCCCTAAAATTTTTATTTAATAATTAACGATATTTTTCTCATTAAATGTCCTAAATTAATGACTTAAAATGAATCTTACATATCTCACATAGTTTAAAGTTTTCAAATGATAAAAGTCCTAAAAACAAAATACTCACATGTATATAAGATAGGACATGGTCAATTTACTTTTTCTTAGATACACTCTTCCAAAAGTCGATGCTCTCCACCAAAACATCCAATCTACTATCCAAAATAGAGATCAAGCCTATGCATATTTCACCCACCCTATATCCCACATCTACTATATTGAGTTAGTTAGGTTTGGTGTAATTGCTTTATAACAAAAAGTAGAGTTGCATTAATCGTATATATAACATAATAATATACAAAGGGTGTTTAGATTGCTTATTTGAAACAACTTATATTTTTCTATAAAATACTTATCAACTTATTATAAGTCAAAAGAGTTTAACTTCTTCAAAAACTTCTTATTACCGGTTTGTCACCGGTATAAATTGTTTATCCAAACACTAAAAAATGCTTATTACCGGTGTCATATAGAAATAAGTCAATAAATTGTTTTTATAGGCAATCTCAAACACCCCTTAATGATAGTATATACCACAACAACATTAGTAACTTAAATTACTATTAAGGGGTTGTTTGATATTGCTTATTTGAAACAATTTATGTTTTTCTACAAAAGTGTTTATCAACTTATTATAAGTTATAATGGTTTAACTTCTTCAAAAATTCTTATTACCGGTTTGTCACCGGTATAAATTGTTTATCCGAACACTCAAAAATGTTTATCATCGGTGTCACACCTGAATAAGTCAATAAATTGTTTTTATAAACAATCTCAAACATCCCCCAAGTATAAAATCATATATAATATTTATTTAAATATCTCAAAAAAGTCATTTATAATATTTGAAGGGTAGAGTGACAAACAAGAAGGCTGAATACAAATTTTAATTGCAGATGTTGCTTACAAACATTATAAACAATACGAAATTCAATTTAATCCATAGTTTAATAATAATCTTAGTTAAGAGGATGCCCGAGAACGAAGAAAATATGTAAATATGGTAACTTTTAATAAATGTCATTCATTATTTATTACTAAGGATATAATATATATGAGAAATATATCACATTAAATAACATTAAACTTTTAGTCATTATATATAGAAGAGAGCGTAAAACCTAAATTCTGGTTTTTGGAAAAGAAAAAAACACAAATATCTTCAATTTACAAACATAAGGAAAGGGGAGATAGAATTAGAAAGAACATGGCTTAATACCTTAAGCAAGGAGGGTGCCCACTTAATGACTTAAACCAAATTAGTTGATAGTTTAACGATTAAACACTAAATAATACTATATGGTTAAACACTATATCATGAAGCCCATCAATCTCTAAACAAATCTGATTTAGGTTGTTGTATAAGATAAGACATTTTGTTTGAATTGATTAAGATCATTTGTCGTTTGGAATTATTCTGTCAGTTTATGTTCGCGATTGGATTAAGTTACAAATATTACAATAAAATATAACCTCGTTCTTGATAATAAAATCATATTGAGACTATATATGCAACCTTCTCCATTTAAAAACTACAATATCATCTTATAAACTTTCTCTTTCAGATGAATGGGGTGCTATGCTTATATGTTCAAGTACCTGGAGTATGATGGGGAGATCATGGCAACCCATTCTCCTTTAGAAGGGGTCAAAACACCGCTGATGGTAACCGTGACATATTGCTCATCGGAAAGGTCGGACATCAAACTCACATTCACACGGACATAAGGGCCACGGTTTTGACAAGTGATGAGACTTCTTCTATTCAGTAGTCGAAAGTCTGATATCGCAGTGTAGTTACCGAACTCGGTCATAGAGTTCTCAAGAGCCTTATGCAATGACAAAACATATCTGGAAAATAAACTGGCTGAAGTGAAGAGAAGTACAAACAAGAAAAAAGAATTTGGTGTTTCCATTGGAAAACTAAAACGCATGTGTCTTGTTGGATCTAGATGTGTTGGATATATTGTCGAGATGTGTGGTTAATTTATGCACTCGTGAATCAAATATTGAATTAACTATATCGAATATATATACATACATACATATATGGTATCGTAGGGGACTTATTTTGATATACATACATACATATATGGTATCGTAGGGGACTTATTTTGAGATCCATGTAATTATGAGATGTGTAAGATCCAATATAAATCACAAGTCGTATAAAATTTAATAAATTATTAATTTTGGTAATTTTGAATAAATAGTTTAAATAACAGCTATTGTGAGTATCTTACAAATTTCTTCTCCCCACTCGTTAACAACATAATCTAAAAATTAAAAAGTTAAAGCGACATTGTAAGTACCAAGTAACCTAAAAACTATCATATAGTATCACAATGTGTACCATTAGCGGATGTATCGTTTTAATTAAAATATTTTGACAGCTAATTTTTTTACATATTGTGAACACAATATGTCACAACAACCCCAAGAACAAAAAATAAGTTATAAAACTCTAAAAGAATTGTTTAAAAACTTTGATACACGCTGTAAATAATTAATTAATACTTTTTATTGAAAAGTTATGAATCCCTTATTTATGGAGTTATGGATTTCCCATAAATAAGGAAATAAATTAAATTAATCAAATGCGTTTATAAGTTGTATTTTTTTTTATTAAATTGTATGTTATATTTATTTAATAGATAATATAATAATATTTATCTTAAATGAGTGTTTTATATTGAATTTTATAAATCACATAATTTAAAGTTATGAAGAATTATGATATATATTATATTATATATAAATATCATATAGTATTGTACATGTATATATTTATAATATCAATTGAAGGTTCTTGAGTTAGTGATGAGAGATGGTGGGATGAGTTTAAATATTATATCCTTAATAATTAAAAAGAATTATTACAATTAATTCAATAATTTGACTCATATATTTCTAATAAATGCTTATAAATATAAAAGTAAAATTAGAAGGCTATTTTTTTTTTAAAGGAAAACGTTAAATTTTCTTAATTAGCATTAATGGTAAGACTAAATCATACACTTGAAAATCTTGTTAAGTTGATGATATGTAACAAACAAATCTTAACATTATTTCACGGGTCACTGTTTAATAGGAAAATTAATTAAAATAATCATTTTGATCATGTGGTTTTATCTTTTAGTTATTTCTTTTCCATATTCATCAAAATGGTGCTCTGTCCACAAAAACTCATGTTCATAATTGCATAACCGACTAAACGACAAATTTTTTACAGTTTTCATTACAAGTCCTAATTAGTGACAAAAAGAATTTGGTCACTAACAACCTAAAGTTGGTCACTAAGGTCGTTTCGTGACCATCAATGGTCACTTTTCGTCACTAAAGGTCTGTCACTGATTTCCAATAGTGATCAAATGCAACAATAGTCACTAATTATTGACAAAACTAAATTGGTCACTGTACTTGTGATGACTAATTTAGTCACTAAATTGTTAAAAGTCGTCACTAATTGTTCAAAGTGACGACTCCGTTAACATCTGTTAACTTCCATATATGACCAAAAAGAAGTGGTCACTAATTAAGAAAACATGAAAAAAGAAATGTTAATTTTTATTATAGTTGTGATTACAATAAAATTAAAACTTGCTGATCTATAAAGATATAAATCCAAAATATTAATTCATTTGCAAAACGTGTAATTCTTGATCCAAACTAAAACAAGTATTTCACTGTCATGTTAAATGATTATCACTAAAATCATTTGATGACTAACAAAAATAAAACATAGAATTCTTAGTTTTGAGATACCAATGCAGATAATTTTGACATTTGTGCTATCATGAGGTTCATTTTTTCCTTCATTTGATTCTGCTCCGCTTGAAATTTCACTTTTTCTTTAATTCTTTCTTGAAAATCATTTGTTCTTCTTTAATTCTCCTAACTTCTTCCACTAACGCCTTTGATTTGTTCTTCTCCAATTCCAACTCCAGTTGTAGACTTTTTGTGGCTAAAACATGTTTTATCGAAGCGGCACAGCCCTTTATATGTCTAGGAACATGATGCAATTTTTTTAAACAAACTTCTGTCGGTGAACACGAAGAAACAGCTTCCTCACTTAGTAATTCATTCTGCATATCAAAATAAAACCATAAATATCAGAGCAATCAAGAAAATGTAATCATGAAATCAAGCATGCCAAGCATATATGCCTAAATCATATTGCATATATGATTATAAACATATTAGAAAAAAACACGAAGGTGACAAAATTATACAGATAAAGTGATAAACCCACAAATCAAAACCATCAAAATTGAGAAATACATCAAGAACTCATACTAATTTCTAGACACAACCAAAAATCACAACACTCAAATTGAAAACCCCAATAAGAAATTTAAAGGACATAGAGAGAACTTACCCCTTCAATTAAGTGAAGCATGCATAAACTCAACAAAGTACCATATCATTCGCCAAAAGATGCAAAAACTATTATAAAACAGTAGAAGTTTTCAAGGAAACCCTTCTTCAAGAGTCAGATACTAGTTCAGAAGAATCTGAGGTGAAGTTTCAGGTGTCTAGGGCCACTTTAGATGCTATGTTGAGATCAATGGCTTATATCCATCAGTACTTCATTTTTTAATCTGTCTTTATCACCAAAGTCATAGGTAAAAGCCCTAAGATCCCTAAAAAGAGTAAATAAGACATGTACTTATGAGTTCTATTTATGTCTTACATTCATTGACACAATTCTAGTCAGTGAATATATTTTCAGTTTCAGTTATTAATATTGTGTAAGTTTATTCTTTCCTTGTAATCTTTACAATTAAAGTAAATTTTCATAATAAACTGTATCACTGAAAAAAAAAATCTCAAAACAGTTAAAACGAACAAGTATTTTACTAGTACCTTTTCCTTACTGATGTAATTTAAATTTAAGCAATTTTCTTTATATTGCTTTGTCATCATCAAATAGGGGGAGATTGTTGATCTCCTCTCTCAGTGATTTGATGATGATCCATTTTATCTATCAAAGTATATTATCTTTGTATTCAGTTTCAGCGATGATCATCGAGTCTGTTCAGTGATCGTTGAACATGTATTGTAATTCGTTCGGAGACCAGTATCCTTCAAGAAGAAAAAATTTACACCAAATAAATCTTGTCGAGAAAAATAGTTTTTGTTTTGTCCTTCTGCACACAAAGGACAAACTCATACCTTTCTTCCATTTTCTCCAAACGTGCTTACCTACTTTATGAAAGAAGACTGTTCATATACGACCAAAAGACTGTATACTGCAACAAAGGACAAGTTTTTCTCTTAAAGCTTACCACATGCTTTATACCTTTTGAATTGCATTTAATGCAATGGGTATAAATAGTTGAATAGTTCTCTCTTCTCAGTCACACAAATCTCCTCCTCCAATCTTACCCAATAAGACACTTCTCTCTCTCTCTACTTTATGTCTAAGAGAAAGAACCACTTTAACAAGTGAAGAGCAAATTAATTCTTATCTTATTTATTGTAGCAAGTCTTTTCTTCTTGCTATCTGTAATTTTATTTGTATCTTTGATTGGTTAGTTAGGTTCTAAATCTTATCTCTTCCGCCAACAATCTGTAAAAATCTGTATTGATCTTATTTATCAATATAAGTTTTTTAAAAGTGAAAACTGTTGTGTTTGTATTCATCCCCTCCCCCCTTCTACAAATTGTTACCTATAAACTCTTGTAGATCCGGCTGAGTCCAATAAACTATCTAAGTCATTTCTGGCAAAAGAGGGAGTGAAAGTGAAGCTTAAAAAAATTGAAGGGGAGAAAAGAAAAATAATGAAGATTGTTGCTGACAACTATTGTCATACTGTGATTAAGGGGGAGTTACTGTAAAAAAGGTGATTAATGAAGATTACAAAACTGTTATCCACAAAGTTCAGGGGGAGATTGCTTGAAAGTTAAAGGAGATAGTTGCAAGTTTAAAGGGAGATTAAGATTGTTAAAGAAATGGGGAGATTGTAAAAGTTCTGAAGTTTCAAAGAAACACATGTTCTAAAAGAAAGTTTGTTACTCAAAGGGGGGAGATTGTACAAAATCCATGAAAGATCAATTCTATCAAAGTCAAGCTTCTGAATGATTTCTGAAGATCATTTTTGAAAATGCTGAAGCTTTAAAGATTTGAAGAATTTCTGTTTTTGGACTTGAATCCAAAGGGGGAGATTGTTGAGATAAAATTGTTGTATTCAAGTCCCGTGCTTAAACAGTTTTACATTGCTTTATAATGTAGTTTTACATTCTTTGTAGGTTAGATTATAGCTTTCCAAGAATGGGCATAAATAGATACTCTTGCTAGTTGTGGTAGTTAGTCTTATGAGATCATTTAATTCTGTAATCGTGTGAGACATCTCAAGAACACTCTGTAATCATTGTTTCAAACTAATAGACAACCGATTATTCAAAGTTCAAATATGTGTTCTTGAATCTTGATGAATTGTGTGTTTATGACTTCAATCTGGGCGAACACTTACCATCTTGTTCCTACAATAGTCTTAAGGAAAACTTACACCATACCCATCTTTTAGTTAAAGAGTTTATCTCGTCTTTTAAGTATTTCTACCAACAAAAACTTGATTTTTACCAAAACCTGCTCAAAATGTTCGTGAAACTCTTTGACTCTCAGTAGTTTAATCCATGTGAAAACGATCTTGATACTATACCATTTTATTGCTTGTAGTGATCATAGTATCGGCATGCAATTGCACCATTGTTGTAGGGACTTTGTAACCACTCTGTGAACACTTATGATTCATAGCAATCCCAAAATTCAACTAAAAGTCGACTTATGTTGAACTTTTGGTCAACCTCAAAGTACCAAGTTCCGTATAATTAGCGCCATCCTTGGGGAGGGCGGGTTAGGCC